CAGCATGGCCTTGCCCATAGCCTTGCAAGACCCAAGCTGAGGTTTTGGCCTTCAACACGCACTCCTCTGATCACCAACACCCTTCTCCCATCATCTGCGTGCTTCTGCCAGTGGCGTCCACTGAACGCAGAAAGCGCTGCCACTGTTCTGCCATGCAAAACCCGGACGGACACCACAGCCAGAGCCCACCAGGACCACATGCCGAGGGCAGAAAGGGACAACCAGCCTTGGAGAAACACTGGTCAGCTGTGCAGTGCTGCAAAAGACATCCCTCACCAAAGGGCACCACCAGCTTTCACAACCCTGTCCTCCCTCATTTTCAGCCTCACCAGGGGCCTCCAGCGACAAGCCTCCAGGAGCCCATTCACGCTCAGCCCGTCAGTCCCTGCCTGAGCAATGCTGGAGGAGCACTGGTCCCCAGCTACACCACAGCTCTGCCACCTACGCGGCCACGGCCCTGTTGATCCAGACCCCAGCCCATGAACAGACTTCCCAGACAGACCTTGGACCTGCCTGGTCACTGTAGACCCGCCTGGTGGTCCCCAGGCTGTGTCCCACCCTGCTACTGTCCCCAGACCCAATCCCAACCTCAGACCTGCCTCGTCACCACCAGCTTCCCAGGGAATATGGACTCTGGGCTGACCCCAGCTGCTGTCCCAGGGCCCATCCTGCTCACCTTGCATGGAGGCAGTGATGGATGAGTCTCCTGCCCACCCGGCCGTGCCGTCATGCTGGGCTCCGCGTCCCGCTGGGAGCAGTCAGCCCTTGCGGCACCCTGGGACGTAGGGGTGAACAATACAAAGCTGGTTAGACCAGGGAATGGAAAACAAGACCACGGCTCTCTTGTAGGGCGGTGAGCCCATATTTCAGTCTGTTTACAGCCCACTGTCTCCTGGGCAACTCTTTTTTATATGCAGCAGGAAAGATTTTCCCGTTGAGCCAAATGTTTCTACTGAGTGCTGGCTCTCGAAGGAGTCCCAGCCCCGAGCTGACATCAACACCATCTTCTATAAACATGCCATGGAGAAATAACATGAACAAACAGCAGGAAAGGCTTTATGGAGATCCTATTACAAACAAGATATTTGTTCCTCTCGCACATTCCCCTTGAGGTGGGAAATCCCCACGAAAAGACCAGGCTGGCCTTTAGTCAAGGACATGGGGCTTGTGCAATGACGGCGGGCTCTGGGGAAGCTGGAACTACCAACCTGTGTCTCCTTTCTTGTCTACCACAAGGGATGCTAGCACAGATTTTAAGAGCACAGCAGCAAAAAGCTTCTCAGGGGAGCGTTTTACGCCAGAAGAGCAAACAGCTTTTTACTCATTAGCATAAGATTTCTATTAGTGACACCTGCAGGCTCTGCCTGTGACGGAGGACTTAATAAATTGGAGAAGTCAAAAGAAGGGACCATCTTGCTCTCTTTTAACCCATCTAAAAGTTAAATCTTGGCTGCCTGTATCATCCCAAGGGTTAGACATCTTCAGAGGCCGAGTCACCAACAGCAGAGGCAGCACAAAGTATCCCGTGGCCATGGTAGAGGACACAGGTGATGGCTCAGACAGGGCACCCGCTTGCCTGGTGGCTAGGGGAAATTATTCCTACCTTCGGCAATCAAAGCTGAATTGAAGGATTAACTGATTGGAAGTCAAGCCATCCTGTTTTTAAGGAGCGACATTAGGCACCAGGAGCAGTTCAGGGTTAAATCTACCGTACTCACAAACACCGAAGTACAGGTTGGTACAGCAGCCACGGTGCAGTTTCTTCTGGTCACAGGTGACCGCTTAAAAATAAAAGAGGTGGGGGCAGAAAGGTAGGGGAGGGAAACACAGAGGATGTGCCGCAGCCGGTCTCCCGTGGCAGGGACGTTTTCCCTGGCTGGGGCACTGTGATGGAGAGCTTGGGGCTGTGGCCAGCTCATGCACTGCTAGCACGCAGGGCCCTGGCTTGAGGAGACAAGCAGGGGAGCGGTATCCCAACCCAAACCTTGGGCATAATCACCTCCTGAAGGTTTTCAGCAGGGTGTTGAGTCTGCTAAACTCACTTTCCTGCATCTGCAATCTTCAGCAGTGGGGTGCTGAGCCAAGAAGCAAACTCCAGCATCTTGGGCAACAGGCACAGCGCTCCTCTCCAGGAGCAGCAGCTCTTTCTGCTGGTACAGCTTGACCTGGGCCTGCTTTTTGAACTCTAACACATGGCAAGATGGGTTCCCAATCTGAGGAAAGATCCCACTGTTGGTTGGTTGGTTGTTTTTTTTTAACTTAACCCTTAGCCAGTTCACAGCTGTCGAACACTCACGTTCACACGTCTCTTACTCAGAGACTTTGATGGTGCAAGGGAAAGCAGGGAAGATCATAGAATCATAGAATGGTTTAGGTTGGAAAGGACCTTGAAGATCATCGAGTTCCAACCCCCCTGCCATAGACAGGGACACCTCCCACCAGCCCAGGTTGCCCAAGGCCACGTCCAGCCTGGCCTTGAACCCCTCCAGGGATGGGGCCTCAACAACCTCTCTGGGCAACCTGTGCCAGTGCCTCACCACCCTCACAGGGAAAAATTCCTTCCTAATGTTTAATCTAAACCTGCCCTCTTCCAGTTTACAGCCATTCCCCCTTGTCCTATCACTACAGGCTCTAGTAAAAAGTCCTTCCCCAGCTCTCCTGTAGCCCCTTTAGGTACTGGAGGGCTGCAAGAGGATCTGTAAGTTTAGCTATGGTTAAGGAGCAATGTAAAGATGAAGAATGGCTTTATGCACTATCTCCTGGTGTTGGTCTGTTCAAAGGAAAATAATGCTCCCAGACTGGCTGGGGAAGATCTGGAAAGAGACGCATCCTGCGCCAACGGAAGGACGATGCCTGAAGGTCTCTGAACACTAATATACATTCCCCGGGGCATGGGGGGTGTTGTGGAGGGACATCATGCCAACCTCTCCCTGGAGCTACCACACGTGGGAGCACACAGACCACCCTCCAGAGATAGTCTTCAGACTCTCCAAGGCTGGTGGAAACCACTGCAGCTACACAGACACCAGCAGAGCTTTTCCATTCCTTGTTATCTGACTTCATATCTGTCTTTTGTCCCAGGCTGTTTTAAGCCACATGTACATCTGTGGCTTCACCCTTTTCTCCTTTCAATGCCAACAGTCTGCAGCGCTTTAGTCTCTCTCTCTCCTGGAGCTCAGTTCCTCATCTCTTGACTTCTTCCCAACTTGGACCTGCTTATTCTGCTTATTCACAAGTTGCCTTTTCGAAGATGGGGTCAACAGATGTGAAGAGGGGATGGCTACTTCTGGGACGTGATGTCCCACTAGACTGTTTGAAGCAGTTTCTATTCCATTTCTCCGTGCTTCCCAGCTGGTTGAACTGCTGAGCCTCACTGGCCGAGTGTCTCCCTTGGTCTACCTTCAACATGGATCTTCTCTCCGATGGGGGAAAGATGTCTAGAGCCCACTCTGCTGCACAACCGGTGCCAATAGTGGTAATATGTACCCCTGTCCCTGCCCACTTCTTGCTTTGATCGGCATCCCAAGGCGTCTGCATTTCCCTCAGCCTTGTTTCACAGGGAATTAGTTATTTTCCTAAATATCAGCTCTCATCTCCTTACAGCATCCCAGGGAGAGGCACCAAAGAATGCGTCAACCCTACCCAACCTCGTGTCTGGTGGGACAGGAACCCCTCCAAGGTGTCCCGCCAGCTGCCCTGGGGCAGCGTATTGCAGAAGATACAGAGGATAAACGTGAGGAAGAACCACAACGCAGCAAACAGAAATAAACGGCGCAGAGGAAGGTCATTCCCTTGGTCCCCGGCAGAGAAAAGGCTCCAAAGCCAAGGCAGCGGAGGTGAGGGGGGGCACAAGTTGTAATACATGGTCCCCGGAGCAAAGTTCAACCAAACGGCAGCCTGATGAATCCCCTCTGTGCAAACAGCGGCTGCTTGCTCAGCAAACACACCTAACCCAGCCCCGGCCACCGCAGCCTCCACCAGGATTTTTGGAGGAGGGGATGTTTTAACATCTGCAGAGAACTGGTATTTGGACCACTTATGCAACTGGTGTGTGTCGGGGCAGGGGGGGTGGACCTTCACATGCAGCCACAGTGCACCCCATTCCCCTCGCTGAACCACCATCATCAGTCTTCAGAGGAGCAACCAGGAGTGCCCTTGCTGAGCTGGACGCAGGAGAGTCCACCAATGGGACTTGGTACAACAGCCGTGTCCAAACCCACAGCACGTGAAGGACTCCATTCCAGCCTTCTTCAGCTCCTTGGCTTTCTGTAGGACTATGTTTGAGCAGCAATTGTGCGCTCGGTCCCTCTGGGACAGACGTGCCCTCAGACCCCACGGGAAGCTCTCCAGACTCAGGAGCAAGATGAGAAGGGACATCAGAGACATCAGGGCAGGAGGAAGGAATGAAGGCAGCTGAGGAGAGGGTGGAGGAGCTGATTGTGCTCCTCTTCCTCACCACATCCCCAGGGCTGCTGCATCCACCTCAATCTTCACTTCTCCTCCTGCTCTACACGGAGTACCCACTCTGGTCCTTGGGACCACAGCACGGTGCTCTCAGTCCCCAGACCCTATCATCTCTCTGATCAGCTCTCCTCACACATAGACTCTGGACCCAAATCTGTCCCTCTGAACCTCCGACCCACCACCGCCAACGAGAAATGGCAACAGCAGCCTTGTCCCAGCACGTAGTGCTGTTTGCACAGCCCTTACTCAAACACAATGGCTGGAGCTGGCTCTGCACGGGGCGCAGCTCCCCACCAGCAATGTCACGACCTCCCTCCCACCCTGACCTGCCGCCTGAGCAGGATCACAATGCCGCATTGTGTGCCTCCATCCCTCCTCCACCGCCTGCGGGAGCTTGCAGGCAGGTGTCCACAGTTCAGCCCTGCGGAGGATGAAGGTTCACGCTCTTTCTGTGACTCGCCTCATCGCTCCTCAACTAACCCACAGTGTCTCAGAGGGCGTTGACATCCGAATTAGGTTAATTATTGTGGTTGTATATGGTAATCAAGCATAAACCTCAGGCAGTGTTGTACAGCGGGGGCTTTGTTGGTCTTGGAGAAGACAACGGTGACTTGGCCGATGTTCAAGCCCTGGATACCTTCTGCGTCAACACTGTCGTGAAGGCAAGAAGTGATGGGAATCTGGATTTTCTACAGCCTCAACACCAGCTGAGCTGTGGCAGAACCAAGTGGAGAGCTTGGGAGCCCCAGCAGGAGCCTGACCTGCAGCTAAGGTACATTTGCTGCAGATCCCATAGCAAACGCTCCCCATTTACAACTCGAGCCACGAAGCCCCAAGGCAGCACCATCGCACGCAAAAGCAGCAAAAATGAATACATGAGTAAAAAAAAAATAAATAAATAGATCCATCAGCAGACACCAGGTCTCCAAAAGCAGCAATTCTCCTCGTAGGAAAGCTTCAAGGTCAGAGTCCTTCTGGCCAAAGGGAGAAGCGGCAGACCCCTACCTCTTGTGTACATGATGCGTGCGGTGGAGTAGGTTGTAGGAGCAGAGCATCAGCTTCTCACCTGCAGTCAAAGGTGCCACACACTCACTCACAACAGCTCCAGAGACCAGACCGAGAAGCTGGTGGGACCAGCACAACTCAGACCTGAATACCCTCCTGTGGGGATCTGACTCCAAAAGTCCTTCCTTGGGGTGACGAGGTCGATGGCAAAGGAGCCAGGCCAGAGCAGAGCAGCATGTGCTGGGGGGAAAGCAGAGGGGCGAAGTGAGGCTTCCTGTGAGCTTCTCCAGTTCCTTTGCAGGCTTCCAGGGCCTGCAAATTATTTTCCTTGCCCTGGAAACATTTCGGATACATCGACAGATTCTTCTATTGCAACTGAGGATAGCAAATGCAAATCTCAGGGGCTTTTTTCCTAAAAAGTGGCTCTGATCAGGAAATAGTGCACTGTGCCTGTTCTCTGGGCAGCTACCTGTGACTTCCACGCTGCTTTGATGACCCCTGCAGGGACAAGCAGGAACAAGTCCAGAGTTTTTAATCCCTTCCTCACCTAGAAGAGCTGTGGTGTGGACGTGGGCACTGCAGTTTCTGTAGGGGACAGCTATCAAGGCCGGCCAGTCTCTCCTCCCTCGGGGAAGCGAAGATTTAACACTCTCAGGAAGGTCCCAGAGTTTGAGGTCCTTGTGCAGGGAAGGGTGACTGCTCTTGGTAGCATCCAGCTGTGGTTGGGTACAAACGGAGGAACAAGATACAGATTCTGCTGCGTGGAAATTGCTGCAGAAGAGCCAAAATATGAGTGCGTGCACATTGCTGACAGCACGGAGTGGTGCTGGCCGTGTCCAAGGACACCTCCTGATGTTTTCCATCTCTCCTTTGACTTTGACATACGGAGGTCCTCCATCCCTCCCAAAACTCTCAGATCTCTGGACAGTTGTTTTCAAGCTCATCCTTCTACATAGCCACTGCTTCTCCCCTTTCCCCGGTGGGCACTCTTTCTTCTCCAAGTCCTTCAAGGACACTAGCGCTAGTCCTCTTGTTCTCCTCCTTGCTGGTGGGACTCCATGATCAAATTCCCAACAGATCCGACACAGCTTCGTACCAGGACTAATACTCTTGGTATATGAGGAGGAGGCAGCTCTGCTGTCATCATCTATGAGAAAAATACAACTACAACCCCGTGCCTTCAGCATCCTTCCTCTTACTGAACTGAGGCTCACTTGAGCGCAGCTGAGACTTGCAGAGAGCAGAGCAAACTCTCACGTCCCACCTCCCAGACAGGAAGAGAAGATGGAAAGATCTGATTTAACTGCGGACATCTCCTCCAACACCAGCCGACCATGACCCACGCAGTCATTACATTTCCTCGTAGCTGCAAGTATCCCTAATATGAACTGAACCGATGTTTTAAGAGATCTCGGACAAAAGGCACACACCCTGCTGTGATGCCCTCCTTGCAGGGTGCTCACGGGAACGCTCTGCAGGATCTCTCCATGCACCTTCCACCACTGCCAATGTTTTCCTTCTGATCTCCTCTTCAGAAGCAGAAGGCAGGACGCTGGCAGTGGCATGACCCTGCAAAGACATCTCAGTCAGCAGGGCAGGTACGCAAGGGATGCTCCCCTTGGAGACCCAGCAGAGCAGCCTCCCTTGGCCATCATCTTCAGGTGATGACCCTCAGCTTCCCTCCATAACCCAGGGAATACCCCTCGGTGAGAGGTGAGGCCACGGTAACTCGCACACCTCCACCTTTGGGGCAACTGTTTAGTACTCACGTGTCAATGCTGTAGCTTTCCTAGAAACCATAAAATTTCTCCTAGATTTCACTCCATTTTGTTTGGTTTGGGTTTTTTTTTGCCAGGTAAGGAATCAACACTGATCCGGGCGCCCTGTCATGCTTTCCATAAATAGGAGGCGGCATCAGACCATGAGGTCCCCACCCTGTTTGCCCGCTGATTTGTTTCAAAAGGCATTTGCTCTGTAAACGCCTGCTCCACCTGGTTTCCCTCAGTCAACATGGCTTTTCTAGCCAGGCTTCAATCGAAAACCATTTCCACTATTTTGTTGTGGGTACCAGGCGCTGGCCGAGGCAGAGCCGGGGCCGGACCCAGACCCAGTGTTTACCCTCTCCTCCAGGTCAGATGCAGCTACACAGGACTCTCACTGGTCATGGAGAGTCCTTGGCCATCCCTAGGTCAAACAGAGCTTCCTCAGCACTAGTGAGGCCACATCTGCAGTGCTGGGTCCAGCTCCAGGCTCCCCAGTACAAGAGAGAGATGCACTTAGTGGAGACAGTCCAATGCAAGGCCACGAAGGCGATGAAGGGTCTGAAGCATCCTTCAGAGGAGGAGAGGCTGAGAGAGCTGGGGCTGTTCCACCCAGAGAAAGTAGGCTCGGGGGACCTCACAGATGTGTATAAACATCTGATGGGAGGGAATGAAGGCGAGGGAGTCAGGGTCTTCTTAGTGGTGCCCAGGGACAGGGCAGGAGGCAATGGGAGCAAACTAAAATACACACAATTCACCCACAAGAGCTGCCTCCCCCCAATTCTGCTGAGGAGAGCCCATGGCACCTTGCGGTTGGGATGACCACTTCCTTTTCTGCTCCCATACACCTACAGACAGACCAGCAAGTGGTCCCAGTAATGTTTAACCTGGTGTCTTTGGAGAAGACAACATGGACAGCCACCAGGAATTGTTCAGAAGATCCTAGATCCTACAAGGCGCTGAAGGATCTGGTCTAATGTTGAAGCCACCCTAAAATATACAGGCCTTTCAGCACCCGAGTGCTGCCAGTGCTGCAAGCTTCAGAGGCTTCAAGACAAAGCCCAGGTTTGTGAGGGATCAAGCTAATCTCATGGAGGTCTCTGGCAAGGAAACAAAACCAACCGAAAAGAAATCGCAAAGCCTTTTCCCAAGGTGAGCGGAGATGTATTTGGCTGTTCAAAGGCTTCTGATAAGGTGGCTGAGATTAAAGAACAAATAAGCGCACGGTTAGCGCCAAAGCCCCGACGCAAGCTGAAAAGCATACAGCCAGAAGCAACAACGCACTCCTCACCTTAAACCTGAGCAGGTCCAGCTGCTCTTCAGTCTTCGTGCCCAAGAGGAGCTCTGCCTGGTGCTGGCACAGGCTCTGCCTCCTCCTCTCTGGAACAAGATCCTCATGCCGCCGGGATCCCATCCAGCCCAGCAGCCACAGCGTGACAGCGCCGGTCCTACTCTTGGCTCTCTCCAGGCTTTGCTCCCAACCTTCCCATCTGCTCCCGTTGGCCCTGAGCATCCTTTCGGAGGGAGCTGGTATCAATGGGTACCTCACTGCAAAGCAGGCTGACTTCAATGTCACAGGAGAAGACAATAGGAACTAAGTAAATCAGCATGGCTCACTCGCTCTGCAAAGTGTAAAATTAACTAAATATCAATTTAGGTAGGCGCTAATGGACCGGCGGCTGCCCAGCAGCGGAAAGGGAGGCCTGGTGGGTGATAGATTACAAAATGACTGGGAAAGTAAACTCTCAGGTTGCTGATAACGCGGCGCACTGGATTCCCCATAGAAAGTCATCTAGAATTTATCGTGGCTCGTTTCGTGAATAGGTCTGTCTGGAAACTGGTCTGAAAAACAAACAAAAGCTGCACAAAGAGTTCGCTGGAGATGGGGGAAAAGGCCATCCCTCTGAAGTTTCTCTCCAGCGGGGGTTTTGCAGGAAGGACTGCAGACTTGGGAAATCAGGGTGTCCCAGGTCCCGATTTCCCCACTGTCGTCTGGGGCTGACTCGCTGCTGGGGAGACACGCATGCAAACCTCTTGTCTTTTCAGCCCCTCCGAGATCCAGAGAGCTGCAGGCTGCCAGGGTACATATGACATGGCCAAACTGACCACGTGTGAGCAGAAAATGATGAGGATAAGTCCTTGCCTAAGCAAAGCGCATGCAGGGAAAAAAAAATAAAAATAAAAAAAAGGACAAAGAAATAAAAATGGGGGAAAAAAGTTCCAAAGTGATGTGAGCAGGGACAGCCCTGCCAGCCTTGGCAGCGTGCAGGACTCGGCCGTGCTCTTGTCTCTTGCTGAGGTCAGGACAATGAGTTGTGGCATTGCTCAAAGGTATGTTTTAACGTGCCTGTTCTGGTGGTACTTCTGTGCCTGTAAAAGGCAGATCCCCGGCCTCAGCCACAGCTCGGCCCTTTCTTGCAGGGTGGGAGGAGGCAACGGGAAACCTCAGGACTAAGGATGCGAACCAAGAAGCAGAGGTGGGTTTAGGGGTTTCCTGATGGGATGCTGTGAGCGTGCAATGAGACATGGGGCAGTGGAGCCTGGGCAGGCGGCACAGGCGCAGCAGGGACCAATGGTGGGAGACAGGAACTTGTGGTCATCCTGGGTGAGGAATGGGACCTAATCCAACATCAGATGTGTCTTCCCTGACTTATCCCAATGGGAACAACCTGCTGTCAGGTCCTCAAAGTCTAGCTACCTGCATGACGCAAAGGGACAACAGTCTCAAGCCAGGAGACTCTGGCTGCAGGTACCTGGATTCCTGTCACAGATGTAGTCAGTGCCACCTCTGGTCTTCCCTCATGGGAAGGCTCCTCAGTCCCTCTCACCAGCTGCGCTTCTTTGGAGGTCTGCCCCACCCTCACAGCACTGCCAAGAGGTCTTCCAGGCTCCTCTAACATGAGATTTTCCCAGGATAATTTTAACGCTGGGTATGTCTTTTCTGTAGCACTCCAGTTCTCCCCCTCCAACTAATGGCTTCACCAGGAGTTTAAGGAGCATTGACTGC